TAACCATTCATAGTGTAGCATCATGAATCCTGACTTATGAGAAAAACAAAGCTATTTCTTTATATGATAAATAGGGGAACACGTCAAGTTTTAGGAAGTACATGATTTAAGCCCAGAGCTTTTCAAATAGCATATTTTAACTCTTCGTGTTTCAAAGCACGACAGCCTTCCTTTTCGATAGGACATGAATAAATGCATTAGAACTAAGCACGCAGAACTGCTTCAGAAGCGTCCTTCCACATTTTAACTTAGAGGTAAAAGTTTTACCCGCCCAGGCATGTATAAGCTGGCCACCTGTTACAAAGATACGTGATTTTTGTTTTCTGTTGCCACAAAGCCAAGAGAAATTCCTGCTTTGTTAGCTCTGCGCTAACAGCAGACGAAGCCAAAAGTAATATCGATTCCTTCGGGCGAGGAATATCTGGAATTTTCTGTTTGGTATGCAAAGTTTGGGTGGTTGAGCGTAGTTAGAATTGTATACTAAAGAGTTTATGTCTGGATTCATTAACGTTTTGTAATGTCTTGGCTATCGTGGGGAATGTGAAAATAATGTTTCGTATTATTTTCAACTCGATGTGTGAGTTTAAAAATAGGGACTGCGGGAAAGGATTTATTGAGGCACTTTTCTTTAAAATAAGTAAATGGTTTTAATTGTTAGGTCAAGTCGAGTAAAAGATTCAATTTCAAATAGATCATTATCGGTTTCAAATAGAATTATTTTTAAGGCATTCCTTTTTATATTAATATTCTGTCGTTCAGGGTTGCTTCAATCAAATTTCAAGTTGAGATAATTGCTAATATCAAGGTTAGAGTGTTTTAGAAATTTAATACTTGCAGTGAAATTTGAGACTACAGTAATTCTACCGTATATAAGTATATGAAAAATTTCTCAAACATTTCTGGGAATAAATAAATAAACAATGGTTTAATTTTAATCATAATTTTAATAATAGTAATAATAAATTTCCTGATCTGAAATTGCATTGCATTATCTGAAAGTTTTTAAAAAAATTGTCAGGTAATGCTTATTCATTTAAACGGGGAATTCCGTTTATAATTACAATCTTGGAGATAAAAGCTATACAACGTATCATTTTTTGATGAAATTAAAGTTAATGGTACATAATTATACTTTTTTTAATTACGCACGGTATCAAAATGTGCAATTGAAATCTTTTTTTTAACAATGAATTTTTTTTGTTTTTTAGCAAACTGTCTAACTTAAAATAATGTTACTAAAATCTCCATACGATATTTACCCAATAGAAGTGGCCAAGTTTCGACGACTTAAATAACCCTTGTTGTTGATATTTATAAGTTAACTGTTTAAATTGGTTATCAATGCCGTTTAATGTTATATTAATTATAAAGTATTGAAAATGCATTTATAATTCCTTAGTATACACATCTTATTTGTCAACGCTATTTAGGAATAACATTTAAAGCTTAATACTCGAATAGTTTAAAAAATAAGAAATATGCGTTATAATAAATAAATATGTACTGTAATTTACGTTTTGATGTGCATTTTGTTATTAAGCGCTATAAGCAAAAAGATGCATTAACTCTCGTCTACAAATTTCTAGTTAGCCATTTTATTTTAAACACAACATAATCACGACACTTCAAAAGTTATTACCATTCTCATTTATGACTCTGATAATATAAATAATAAAATGTGTTTATTAATAATGCATTATAATTTATATTCTATTTAATTAACTATGAAGTGTTTTAAATAAATATATAATTTATCTACACATCTCATTTCGTCTTAACTTAAACAAACGGGTAAATTTGATTCGGCTCTTTTCAATTATATTTTCTAAGAAAAATATCTCTTTATATGAGAAATTAAAGAGGCATATTTTTTTCATAGATTGGAAATATGCCTTTTTGATTATGATTCATAATTATACTTGTAAATATAAAAAATTTCATATTTTTCCTAAAAGGCAATCGCAGTTCTAAAATTGCCTTAACATATTAAAATTGAAATTTTGCTGAGTCATTATGAATGAAAATGATTTGAAAACTTTTAAAACAACTATTAAGTTTGTTTCGTTAAACAAATTATAAATAATAATTTGAGTTAAGTAATTATTATAAACTAATTTCCTAATTTAACTATAAAAATGAAAGAATTCTATTTGGTTCAAGTCTACTTGGTTGAATTGAAAGCATTATTGTTGTTTTATGTATACCATTTAAATATATATATTTTTTTAGAGTTTTGATTTTTTTGGTGAACATTTTAAAATTCTTTTTCTGGAAATTTTGCAAATTAAGTTAAGTTAAAACTAGACATCCGAGGAAATTATTCGTTACAATTTCCACTTACAAGTTCCACTTAATAATATTAGTTTAAATGAATATGAAGTCTATGAGTACTAACATTATTAACTTATTTCATTTAGTAAACATAATCAATTGTTTGTAAATATTATTGTAGGATTAACTTGATTTACTCAGTATAGCCAAAGCCAAATGTTAACATTACTGTTGTTAATGTTTAAAGCATCAAGACCATTTGTATAATTTTATATAAAATTATACAAATTTTATATAAAATGATACATACAATATAAAATGATACATATTTTAATTTTATATAAAATGTGTTTTCAATTAAATTTTAGTCATTATTGTAATAACTTATTGCAGAATACATACAATTTATCACATTTATACAATTTCCCATACGATTCTACCTGCTTGGTTAAGTTTTTACAATAAGCAAAAATAAACTTACAATTTTATTAATTTGCATCTAATTAAATGAATAAATTTATGCAAAGGAAAAATGTAATTTTAAGAATTATTTCAACTTATTCTTAGTCATTGTAATCATCGGCCTTTAAAACATTTTCCTTTAAGCATTTAGTTGCCAAATCCAGTAGCTTATTCTCAGTAAAGTTGTAAATTTTGGTCTAGTACTAGAGCAAAAAAGTTTAATATTTGGTAATGTTATACTATACTCTAAAGTACAGTTGAACATGTACTTCAGCACATGAGAAAAAAATTATTGAAACACTAAGTTCATCATGTGTTAAAGCATTGCAGTTTGTCAAATTTTAGCCTAAAAGATCTAAAAAATTCTAAAATGAAAATATGAAAATTTTATCAATAATATCTGCAAAAGAGGTGCATTGGTTGTTTTTAGAAAAATAATCAAATTAGTTTCATTTTTGGGGCTAGTGTTAAATTTTATGTTGCTTGACTTAAAAAATTCACTTTTGTGAAAAAATTTTATTTTGACTGATGTAAAAGAAAGTTAGTTATATATATATATATATTGAATATATGTATCCAAATGTCTAAATGTTTGTGATAAGGAATAAGTTTCATAGTCCGTAAAGAGAAACAAAATTGCGATATTTTTAATACACGCTTAAATTTGCTTATTATTAAAAAATATTGTCTTAAAAGAAATTATATTACGAAACATTTTTTCGATAAAGAGTTAAAATATCGAGCAATAATAATTTTAAAAAATATTTTCATATATTTAATTATTTAAAAATATTATTTTCAAACTTTAATAGTTCTTTACATACAAATCCATCTGAGAACACAATTCTATTTTAAATCAACGAAAAATAATTGATAATTACACAAGAGACTATATTTCAAATTAAATTCGAGATATTTTACCAGAGTGGTTTAGAAGATGAAAATTCTGATTAAAAATAAAAATTCTGATTAAAAATAAAATATATTCAAAATTTCATTCTCGGTCTTACTAAATTAATTTTTGCTTCGACCAATTTTCTCTATCATGTTTTTGGGAATCACTCCTAGCTTAAATTAATATCTTTACTTACAACGATGCATGGATGCTCTTCATCTTCGTGATGATTGGCGATTTTTGAAATTGCATTGAAATTTGCAGATAAGTAAACAAGAAAACAAAACTGAATTTATCCTTTCTCTTTTTCCGAAATGAGAGTTGAGACTAATTATACTTCTCCGTTATTTGCAGAAGAGATTCAGAAGCAACAAGAACAAAAAAATTCCATATAAGCTGTGTTGAACACACGTGCAAAGAGCGTCCCCAATTAATTCCATGACAGCTATTTCTCATTTCAACGCGCAATGAATTAGCAGTGGGGACTTTAATGAAAAGCAATTTTTTTCCGCTATTTCACGATGCTTGGGAGAGGAAATAATAATCAGTTGTTTTTATTTTGATTCGCTCCAATGAAGTACCAAGATGAAATAAAATGCTTGTTAATTAAGATAGAGAAGCGCACATTGAATCTTGTTGCTTAGCATTGGTCGAGAAATTAAGCAATTATCCCATCTCAACATAGGTCAATAATAAAAATGATTAAAATTGTTTAACAAAATGTTCTTAGATATTACTCGGAATTAAATGAGGCAATCTTCTTAATCTTTATATTGTTATGTGTTATTTCATCACCCGACAGTTCCTTAAAATTAAAAAAAATTACTATTGTTTGATAGAACTTTTCATTTAGGCTAATCATTGAAAAATATTTTAGAAAGACTTGAATTTTTTTATGCTTTATTATTGATTTCTGCTAAAGAGAAAGCAATTGAAAGAATCAGAAACTTTACGTTGAATTAAATGTAATTATTTGCCTTAGAATTAAGAAATCTATTATGATCGTTTATTCTCTTCATTAGTAGTAATTAATATTTAGTGTATAAAATTTCAATTGATAGCTGCAACTGTTAAAGAAATATACAAAACTAATACTAAGAAATATACAAACTCGGGTAATCTTATCACATTTTTTACCATTAGAACAAACAAGAAAATAAGTTACTTAGGGTAAAGTTTAAGGATCAAATCGAATAGGATGTCTTATCAAAAAAATTAAACGATCTGACAGTAGTCAGTGGACCATGTTTTACGAAGATGGCCAATTTCAGTCTAATTAGGTCTTTGGTAATTTGCCAAAGAGCAGCAAATTATATGGAACTAATTTTGCACTTGAAGAGATCTTATGCAATTTTTTGTTCTTTTTTTGCAGCATCCCAAGACTGCGAATTTCCTTCCAAATGGACAGGGGTATGGTTCCAGAAAGGAGTGCATCCGCCCATCAAAATAGAGAAAGATATATTTTCTTTCAAAGGAAAATGTTTGGCGGCTGACAGTCATATGTTTTATATTGAAGACGCGTAAGTAACACTCTTTTAGTTAGTGCTGTTTTTCGATGCTCCGTCGAAAAGGAAAATAAAAAAAGCCATAGTTTAAGTGCCTTACACTTGAAGCAATGCAATAATTTTATACTACATCTATAAACTTGCCATGGAATCTTGGATTTGGAACAGACAAATAACTTAAATATTTTCAAAGTTGTTAACCTTTTTTTAAAGCAAATAACCAATTTGGCGACATTTTCCCACCTAGATTAAAATTAACAAAATTACTGCCATATTCTCAGTGTTTGCTAACTTTTACAAGCCCAGGTAATGCAGCATCGGAGTAAATTTTTAAATATTAAAAAATTTGACTACAAGCGCTTTTCACTTTCATAAAACTGTAACGTTTCTCCATTTTGACGTTTTGAGGCATTTTTAAAATTAGCGTAGATGGCATTGGCTAAAGATAGGCTAAACTCGATCAAAAAGTCAAGTTTAACACATTTGCACAACTGTTATAAAAATAGCATCTCAAAAAAGCATCATTTCATATTTCGACGGAGCCTTCGAAGAGCAACCTTGAGACTTCAATTTATGACCATCGATACATTTTTAGTCGTTTAAAGTCAACTTAATTACACAAGCATGAAAAGATTATTTCCAAAATAGTTATTATTCTTATATACTGTTTATGTTGATAATATTTTAATAGCTGAAAGACTTAGTTTCTTAAAAGACCATCAACTCTTCCTGATAGTTTATGAATTTATTGTACTAAAAATCTTATTGTGCAAGTGTCTTTATGAAAATTATGAAAAATCCTCTTTTTCTTGCAGAATTTCAAATCCACTCCCCTATTAGATAAAAAAAATTATGAACAAGGAATTTCTAACTTGAGAATTTGTCTCGAATCAATTGTTACTCCTGAGCATTAATTGCTTTGAAACTACTCACTTAATATTGCGCTGTAAAATTTCTTTTTAAAAATTGCTAGAGATTCTGAACTACATTCGATCATTCAATACTTGTTAGATATATTTAACTGTTTATTCAAACTATGAGTAAAACAAATTTATGCATTAAGTGTCATCAATATAGGTATAAAATAAGAAAAATTGATGGTTACTTTCATAAACAGAGAACTCAAAAGTGTTTCAAAAATACTCGCAAACAATTTCAGATTTGCTTTCTCATTCGGCACATTGGATAATTATTATAAAGATAAGTTCAGAGTTTTTATAAAGTAAACGTAAAAAAATGATTTTATCCATTGCTGTAAAAATAATTGTTTCAAAATTAGCTATTTTTGTATTATCAATTCATGAATTCTCGTTAACGAAGCCTTTAAGATTTTCTAAAGTAACTACTAAAATTCATCCAAAAAGTTTAGCAAAGATTAAGCATTAAAAGCAACAAATAAAATAAAATTTTACATTTCGTGCCTTTTTCGTCTGAACTTTTTCAAAAAGTTTCCTGATAAGTTGAACTACAGTTTGTGTATAAAAAATGTATTTATTCCCTATTCTAAAATTTAAGAAACAATCATATTTTTGTGGACACGTCATGATTAGTCAAGCAAATCAAGTGAAATTATTATAAAACAAAAAGAACAGATTATATCGAAAAGGCAATGGTGCGAACTCAACATCATTAAATAATGAGCAACATGAAATATATTGATAATAAAAATAAATATTGATAATTAACAAAAATGATAAAGTGAAATTGTATTTCATGAAGTTAATGTGAGGTAAAACCCCTTGACAACAATTCAGATCTTAGATTGAACTTTCACGTTGTTAACAAGTTTGTTTCGGAACAATAATTCTAAGGATTTGGGACTAAGAATAAACTCTTCCATTAAAACTCTTCCGAGGCAGCTTGTAGCCCCGTGAGATTTCAGGGTGTAGGTGGTGATCTGTGATTGCTATCCCATGAGCATCCCAGAAAAGAGCCAGTCTAGAGACAGGTCGAAAACATTCAAATATCATCTTGATGTCTTCGAATTTATGTTTTTCTTCGACCCACCCACCCCTGTGTAGCTATTCATAAAACTCAACAGGTAAATCATCTCTAAACAACCATAAATGCAGCACTAAGATCACAGCCATATATCCAAGAGGAGAACTATAATCAACTTCTTGAGAAGTCCTAGTCACTGGAGAGCATGCTTGATCTACTGCAAGCAACATCAACTGGGACACTGATGCAGAGGGTCTGAAGTGTTCTCGTAAATGATGAGTCCCAACTCAGTCTAAACAATGACTCAGGAACCGTTCACATATGAAATGACCAAGAACTTATAACATCCTCCAATATCATTCTAGGGGTCATAATCGAGCTTGAGTTATCAACGTGTAATACCGCGTGATATTGAATGGTACACTATTAAAATTTTTATTATAAAATTAAGGCAAATTAACCAACAAAGTATGTTCATTCAATTAACTATAAAGTTCAAGGTAAAGACATTATTTACCTTTACGGGTTTAAAACCGTTTACAACTAGTATGGTTCAAAAACCATAAATACAAAACTATGCTGTTTTTAGCCATTTAAATCTAAATTGGTTTCAAAGCGGTAAAAAAAAAGAAGTTTAACTGGATATAGCAGTTATTTTTTAGTTCAATAATGAGTATTAGAGTTAGGCTCTGGCTTTATCGAATAAACCGTGGAAAGTGGTTTAATTAGTTCATCTGGTTGTTTCATTAAATCGTAAGAGTTGCGAAATTCTAAACTTTTTTCGTTTGAGTTTATTAGCTTTATAGTGCTGGCATCTATACTTGGACATGTTCTAATAACCCAGAGTAGTGTCAAAGCTCGTACTTAAACCCTCAATCTGTCACTCATGAGATTTACAGATTAGCATTCTCGGCTATGATATGTTCCCAACTGCAAGGAACTTAGTGTCTCTATTTGATGGACCTAGTTAAGTAGGTTGATGAAATTCTAGTTGATTAACTGTATTAGGTGAAAGCATTTAATATAAATATTTTTTCTCACAGTTAACAGTTTGAATACCATCTTATTCATGGTTATTTGCATTTTTAGTTTGAATATGAGATCTGCAAGTTATCTTAACGGAGAAGTCAATTTATAGAGAATAAAATACCATTTATTGTTCCAAAAAAAATTAACAACCTCGTCAGCAGCATGAGAGTTCATTGTGATATATGCACTGTCATCAAAAAGGTTTACCCCATATTAATTCTCCCACTCATAATTTCACTACATCTTTTTTTTTTTGCCTACCGTACTGTGATAGCAATTATTTTATTTTGAGAATCTGCTAATAAATTTTTTGTATCCTAATTTTTCAATATCTATGTATTTTCACATAAATTTTATTTCATTTACAATCTCTCTTTCGTTATTCACAAAAAAAGTGTTTGTGCTTAACTTTGGTACATGCGAGTAATATTTAAGTATAAAAAGTTAATTATGAGATTTTTAAATTAATTTTTAGTTGTTTTGATCGAAGTTTGATCGAAACGAAATTAATTGAAATTTTTCCACTGTCACCATTTAAAAACAATTTTCAATGGAAAAAAAAATAACCTGGAAACATTAATAATTGGTTTAAAAATTATACATATTTTTTTAAATTCAGTAAAATTTTAAAATTTATTATATGATAATAAAATTATATAGATAAAATTTATTCAGACTATTTAAATATTAAAGGTACATTGGGTAGCCGAATAATTACTCATTTCATATAACTGATTTTGTGAAAGAATCATGCAAATAAATTTGAAAATAGCTTTTATGTATAGTATCGCTATAATGATGAACACAATGCTCAAAACAATTTTAAAATTCCTTAAAAAATATATAAGCTTTCATTTTCACAAATGAAGTCAATTTAGCTTAATCTATTAAACAAACTGTAAATAATTATTTCGTTCTCCTGTTAACATTTAATTCTCTAGTATTTTGAACAACGTGGAATGTATTTTATCAATATTCAAATGAATCTCCAAGATCTTATAACTATTCATGAAGCAATTTCTAAATCACCTGAATAGACAAGTATAACTAAATTTATAAATTTAAAATTCGCCTTTCCTTGGAATTTTAACGATAAATAATTTTCCTCGAATTTATAAAGTGAATAATTAGAGTTTGGAAGAAAATGATATTTTCAATTAATAAAAATATACATGTTTTCATTCAAATTTCCGCTTTTGAACAATTTCCCATTCTGTATGCTTTTATTTTCTTTGAAATATTTCAGTAATGTTTGAAAGCAATATATCAATCCATTGCATTGTTACTAGCATTGTTTGCAATGGAAATTAAGCTTTGATGTAAATAATTTAACTCTATACATCATTTTCTCTTTAATACAATAAATATCGACATTCATATGCAGATAAAGATTTAGTCTTTTGATGTTACTTTTCACAGAATTATTTTTCAACAATGGCTGAAATATACAGACATATTAATAGATTTATTTCAATTTATTTCAAAAATTTTAAATGCAATCAGCCTGGAATTAAATATTTGTTATTTTATTTTTAAAAAAAAAACTTTTTTTTTTTATTCTGCTATATAGATTTTTTCGTAAACGCCGCTTTTAATATAATAATTTTTGAACGCTTGTTAAAAATAAAGTAAAATTAAAATGCACATTTGATATAGGAGAAAATAATGCTGGTTAAATTACAGTTCTGTATGGTAATAATATTTTTGGTAAAATAAAAATTATACTTCTTGCTAAAAAATCAAAATAGGCGGTATTTAAACAATTCATTGAATAATTTTTCCGTTTATATGACAATAGTTTCCCGGAAATTCTGGTTATGAAAACTATAGTTCTTCAAGAGTAGAGATACAGTAAGAAAATTAGAATAGAAAGAAAATTATAGAGTAGAAGGAAATACATAACTTAAAAGCAAACTATAGAGTAGAAGGAAATGCATAACTTAAAAGCAAATTAAGGAGTAGAATTAAATACACAACTTAAAAGTTAATTATAGAGAAGCAGGAAATACATAACTTGAAAGCAAATTATAGAGTAGAAGGAAATA